CCAAGGGTTGACCAGTTGGACTTTTGAGGGTATTTTGGTAATTTGTGATTCTGATGGACTTGGTCCTATGGTGGTTATAGGTGGTTGAGTTCGTGACTGTGATTCGGGAGTTTGATCTTATCACTACAGTTCGACATCGTGAGGTGACTTCTCCTCACTATATCAACAGGGTCTACGGTACCAAGGCCGACCCTTTATGATTTGTATCCTCGTTATTGGATGGTTGCTATGTTAGTGATTTGTTAGATCAATATCCTAGTTATACGATGCTTTCTATGTTAGCGATCTGTAGATCTATATGATTATCTGTACATGCTAGCTAGTGTATGATATTTATATGCATATGTTTGTTGGTTTGGGGGATTGGGTTGAGGCAGGTCCTACTGTGTGCTGTAGGCCATGATACCTAGGGCGGACCGGATAGACTGCAAACCCAATTAGGGCATAGTAGGCAGGCCGAAGGCCCGACGAGTGGTCTAGATAGGCTGAAGGCCATGAGAGGCGGTCCAGACGTGCCGATGGCTCGGAAAGCGGTCCAGATAGACTAATGGCCTGTGAGGCGGTCCAGTCAGACTGATGGCTCATTATGCATGTTATGTTGTTATATGATATGGTTATATATGCATGGCATTGGTATTTTGGGGGAACTCACTAAGCTTTGGGCTTACAGTTGTTGATTATGTTTCAGGTACTTTTGATGATCGCGGGAAGGCGAAGGCGTGATCGTGCACCTCCTTATATTTTCATGATTTGATTCTGGGGATACTCTGATGTTCAAACTATTTTGAAACAAATTGTAATAACTTAATGGTTTTAAATGTTTTAAAAAGATTTAAATTGGCTTGAATTTTATGGGTGTTATAGTAGTGGTTGTGGTCGTGGTTGCAATGGTGGTGGTAGTAGTTACGGTGGCAGTTGTGGTCGTGGCAGTGGTGGCGGATATGGGGGCGAGTGGTGGCGGAGTTGGCGGTGGCGGAGGTGGTGGAAGTGGCAGTGGGGAGGTTGCGGAGGAGAGAGGAGGTGTTGGATTCATATATATATATATATATATATATATATATATATATGTTGGTCCCAAACCCTTTGTAGATTCGTAAATCAAATATAAACAAGAAAGAACAATGAAGAACATAGAAGTATCACAAATATATCTTTCACCAAGAAATGGGTGTTCTCTCCAAGAGAATAGGTCACAAAGACGAATGGCATAAAGCCGTCACAAAGACACATTTAGGGTTTAACCCTAATACACAAATATATGTTAATCTATTCTAGTGAATCCTTTCAATCAAGGGATTGTATCTAATCTACATATAAACTAATCTGGTATATAAGGAATGGATCATATTAGATCTTCTTCAGATTCGAGTATCAACACCAACACATCAGACCCTGATCAAAACATTAGCTTCTTGGAGACTCAATGATCAGGGCATCAACGTCAACATCAAGGAGACACGCTGATCATCTTCAGCTTCAGCTTCAGTAGATAGTACCATTAGCGTATGAGAGCTCTGCGTATCACCTGATCAGTGTGTCATCAGTGTATAACCATAAGCGTCTGGACACACTGATCAGTCTTCAGTAGATAGTGTCTTCATGCCTTTGGTGCTGATATAGTCTTCAGGATCTTTTAGTCATCAGGGGATGTTCTTCGGTCTTCAACATATAAACTTCCATCAACATATCTCAGATTAACTAACTAACTATAACTATAGTGTATATATTTTTCATCATCAAATCTATACAATTTAGTGACCCAACAATATATATACACCATGATTATAATAAAAAATATTCTAGATTATTTTGGAAAATTAAAAGTTTACTAATTGATTTTTTGATATTTTCTTCATAAACATTAGTATTTTTAAAATTCTTGACTTTAAGAACAATCATATTTGATTTCTTATTTTAATAAATCTTTATTACTACAAAAATGAATATGAAGCACTACCACATTATAAATAAATCTTTATTGTTACAAACATGAATATGAAGCACTACATCAAGCATGCAAGATAAACATTTTTAACAAAACAACTCAAATAGAATATAATCTGTTTGCATTTATATATAGGGAAAATGACTCTTGAGGGTAATTAACTTTTGTGTTTGTACTCATTTGGTCCCTTTCCTTTTTTTATATTCAATATACCATCGAACTTGTTGTTTGCGTTCACCATAATCCTTTTGACTGGCTTTTGACCTGTGATAGCCGGTCAAAGGGTTATGGTGAACACAAACAACAAGTTCGATGGTATATTGAGTACAAAAAAGGAAAGGGACCAAATGAGAACGAACTCAACAGTTGGTTAACCTCCTGAATCATTTTCCCCAAAAAGTTAAATGAAATTAAAGTTGCAAAATTATCATAGACTGCAACCTTCTCTGGCTATAACGTATATGAAGAGCGTTTCAAAGGGGTAACCTCGTTAAAACATGGTATATGCTATGCTTACTGTGGTTAACTGTCAACACCTCTCTGCAAAATGATATGATTGTGTATGAGAGGTATATTTATCAGCATAAACGTTTACCTCAAGGTATATTATGGTGATGTGTCTATAAAAGCAACATGATATTGTACATATTGATGTTGTATCTTATCCCATGAATTCGATCTTAAGGCTAAGTAAACTCAAAAATCACAGCACTTGTGATTCCACTCGTTTGTAGACTTGTCTAGAATCCATGATACGATAAATCATTTGATTGGAAATGTAAATATAGTCATGAAATGTGCCTGCTTAGTCAAGATTCCCCTAATAAATATTCAAGTGCATTACAAAGTTGTACATGTATGAATAATGTTCTTTCGTGGGTTATGTTTTGAAGATAAGCAACAATGAATCTCATAAAGTCATTAATATCAGTAGGAGATGACGTAGGATTTGCTGTAAATGAGTAAAGGGAAAATGAATCAGGAGGGTAACCAACTGTTGCATTTGTTCTCATTTGGTCCCTTTCCTTTTTTTGTACTCAATATACCATCGAACTTGTTGTTTGTGTTCACCATAACCCTTTGACCGGCTATCACAGGTCAAAAGCCGGTCAAAAGGGTTATGGTGAACACAAACAACAAGTTCGATGGTATATTGAATACAAAAAAAGGAAAGGGACCAAATGAGTACAAATGCAAAAGTTAATTACCCTCAAGAGTCATTTTCCCTTATATATATGCTGATTATTTGAAGTTGATACATGAACTCTCGTATTTTTTTTGTAGCTTTAAATGAATATGAATCTATTAATCATCACCTTATTCATGTGGGTCAAAAGTGACTTGTAAATAAAATGAAAGGGCTACCAATTAGTCAAATTAGTCAATATACTAAAAAGTCCTTTACTTTGTTCTGGAGATTCAAGTACAAAGTAGTTATGTAGGGAAGTTGTTTGGTGAAAGGTAGTGTTGATATTGACTGGTTTGTTACATATATGGAAGATGGTTCCTCAAGTGATGATCGGGAAATTTATCGGGAAAATTGTTTTAGTATATGGAAAATTAAGATGTGGTCATTGTTGAAAGAATTAGGTGTTTGGATTCCATTTATTAAGGAGAGGCATATAAGTGTGGATGAGATGATGTTTAAGCAACAAGAAAAAAAAGGCCTACTTTACAATATTCTTTATCGCTTTTAGTCTTTATGAGATTGTAGACAGAGAATGCAAAGGGTTGTATAGCAAATGTTGTATATGACCAAATAATTAACAAACAAGCTTTTGTTAGAGCGACCTTTGTTTCATTAAAAATGAATGAGGGTACCATTGAAAGACCATTTAGATCAGTTGAACCGAATCTTAATGAATTTGAAGAATGTTAAGGTATTGTTAGGTGTTTTGGTCTCGAATGTTTGTATAGGGTCTATAAAGGCGCCTTAAGATAATGAAATGAAGGTTGGAGTATGGGGTTTATGCTCTTGGGAGGGAAATGATATTAGGCTTGGTTGCAAAGTTTCGAGCTTTGAAAATGTTAGCTTCTAAGGGCTTTTTCATGTATGTCAAAGAATATGGATGGTGTTTCTCAACGAGTGGAATAGTGAGTTGATTTTAATCAAGGTAAAAAATATATGGGTTAAATATGAGATTAACAATTAACCAAAAAGACCTTTAAATGAAATAATAGTAATTTGGTCCTTTCAAATTTGAGACTTAAGTTTCTTTGACTTATTTGACATTTCAAACTATACTAGTTTTCAGTTTTTCATAGTCTCTTCTAGTTGGATATTTTGTTCGATTCCTCTTGCTTTAATTTAAATATCCACAAACACATTATCAAACTTTTGCACATCAATTCATTTTCCATAATGATTAAATTGGATTTCTTTTAAATTTAATCATTACAACTTGAAGTTGTAATCAATCAATTTCAGGATGTTTGAGAAAAACGATTTTGACTCTTTTCGAATAAAAAATTATTTTAAAATGATTTATTAGAAAGGTAACACAAATTACAAAAGTTTGAGTTTCTTTCAACATAGAAGTTGTAACTTCATGATTTCCCTCGTGAGGATCAGGGAACAGTATTAACAACATTCCCTGATGGGACTGGTGGCAGAGATTCGGTGATGGGGATGGAGACTGTGATCCACAGTACCCAGCCCCCGTTGTCATCCCTACAACCAACATGATCCCATTATATTGGACATGATCATGCACAACAATTAATTTATAAATTTTTTAAAAATCATGTAGTGGATGATGTGTTTTAAAAGGTCTCATGGTTTGGATGATTAGGTTACATGTGATTTCTAGGTGGTGTCTCATGGTCCCCTCCATATTCTTCTTTGTACAAAATTGTCATTTGACTTGATGCAATTAGTTCATATAACTTAAAGTATTTATCTACCAAGAAGATTGCATTAATTACGAGATTACAAAAATTTGTAAAAAAAACTATATTATATATTCAATTGTTGTCGAATCACCCAAAAAAATAACATGAGGTTGGTATTTTTGATAAATCTGTTATAAATGATCAATATTTGCACAAGTTCTATGGACTATGGAGAAAATAGAGGTGCTTCAATGGGGAAAGAAATTAATAAATAGAAACAGGAAGATACATACTACTACTACCCTCCATTTTTTTTTTCAAATTGAAAGTTTCCATGAAACAAAGATCAAAAATCAATAATTTAACATTAACACGAACTAGAAATAACTTAACTGATACACTAACCTCTAAATCTCTACATCTTCAAAACTCCATTGAAATCACTTAGCATTGCCACTTCCAAGGGTGAGTTCAAGATCATCCAACCCGACATCATGAATCCTTTCCCCTCCCCACGCATTCACTCCATTCCCAAATTCCAATTCCATTCCTTTCCCTTTATCCATGGTGGAGATTTCTGGAGCCATTGGTGTCACAAGGTGGAAGGTGGGAGAACTGGGTCGACTCACCCATTGACAAGAATCAAGGGTGGAGCAACCAGATTCATCACATTCTGGGATAGTAAAAGGTGTGAAACGTTGATATCTAGTTGGGCTTGTGGGAGCAGAAGATGCAAAGTAGGGGAGATTGAAAGAGGGAATTGACTGTTTGGTGAATGATTCCCAGATTAGATGGTTATTTTGGGGAGGTTTTGAAGTTGGGGAGGAGAGAGGTGGAGTAACAGGGGCGCTGTTTGATATGCGAAGAGGAGGGAGTGATGAAGGAATCGAGTCACGGAAGAAGGTGAAGGGGTGATTTGATGCGGATTGATTCATGTCGAAGTGTGATGGAGAAGGGAATGATGAAGAAGGTGGACTTGGTTTTCGGGAAGAACATGGAGTTGTGTTGGTTGATGTGCTTCCGATTTCAATGGCGGGTGGTGGCTTGCATCCCTGCAGATTCAGATCGAAATGAAAATCATTAATTGAACAAAAATAATGATTTCTGCCGTTCGTCTGTTCTTTTTAAGATGTAAAATACTGAAAGAAACGTGATTCAAGTTAAACTGGTCGATCTACACTTTAAAACCCTAGAACGTACAATTATAGAAAGCATTCTACATGAACAGAATCACATACGTGAAATTTCCAACCATTTTCATAAATTAAACAAGGGGAACAAAACGAATGATTTGATCTGGAATTTAAGAGGGAAATTTGAAAAGTAAAACTGAAAAGGGCGAACGACAGTTCATAAAAACCCTAGATCTAACCAATGGACATAAATGCAGATCAATGATGATCAATCGATCGACTAAAAGATGATTTTACACCATAATAAAGTTGTTTTTGGAGAATATTTGATTTGTTTTACCTTGCGAAAGGTGGTGCCATCAGGAAGAACAACCCAACCAGCTTCTTTACAAAGAGCTTTCAAAACCTCGTTGTTATCACAATGTTTCGGCAAATCGTAGTTGCCCTGTGCTCTGAGTCCATTATAGATATTCGCCGCAATTGCTCTCCTCCGCCTCTCCCTCCGCCGGTTATTTTCCCTCTCTCTCCACGACGGTTTCCTCCTCCCTCCTCCGCCGCCTCCACCTCCTTCCGCCACCGTCATCGACGACGATCCCCCCTCCCACATCATCTCGTAACAAAACTCACAGCAAAACAATCACACACAATCTGTCTTTCTCTATATATGTTTGATTGAGCGTGGGGAACAGAATGTTGTAAAATGTGTGTTGTTTTGCACGAAGAATTTGCTTCTCCTCCGCCGCCCTCTGTGTGTGTTTTCCGGCGATGTCTTGTGATTGTGTGTGATGTGTGAATGTGTTGACGTAAAAGCACTGAAATACTGAAAAGAGGGCGAGAATCATGTAATGCAGAAACAGGAGGAACTTTACTGTCTGCTCAATGATTTCAAATAATTGGGGCCGTTGATCTCATATGGGATTGCTGATTATTCATGTGTACACCGTTAAAAGATGTGCATGTTATGTACAGTACCCAAATTACAAGAAGACAATAAAATAAAGGGATCAAATGGCAATATCGTGTAACTAAATAACTTTATACACTCAAATGTTAAATAATTGAATGTATATTTATGCAATTATTTTACTTCCTTTATTGAACTATGAAATAAGATATTTTGTACAAATTATATAATTTGTTTGTTGTTATAAATATTTAATTTGCATATATATATACATTAATAACATACCATATTTATTGTGTAAATCATTGAAGAAAAAACATTATTACATAAATCTATAATAAATGTATTTATTTTCAATATTGATAACAAAATAAAAGTATTAGTAAACATTATTACATATATAATTCATTATAAAACTCAATAATTCAGTTGTAATTATACATGCTTAAAATAATGAATATGTGTACAATTCTACCTCATCCATCTGAAATATTTTGACATGCCGTCTAATAATATATACTTCGTTATTAATCAATTAGTTACGGTATTTTCTATCAAAATTAAAACTAAAAATACTTGTGAACTATAGTTTCAAAACGAAAATACTTGTAACAAAATATCACCTTAGACTAAAATTAAGATTTTTTTATTAAACCATAAAGACTATTTCTAAATATTTGATTTTGTCTAAATATTACGAGTAAAGGTTAACGTGTACAAATATTCTTTTTAACCTCTTAGACTACCCTATTAGCAACTAACACAGCCTAATTTTTATATAAAAACTATTTTTTTTTTCTTTTCACTTATACAACTCAATTCAATCCAATTATTCATAGTCATTAACAACTCAACCCAAACCTAATTTTATTTAAAAAAATAGAATAAAAATAAATCGAAACTATATCAATATTATACTCTATTCATAGAAAACAAAAAATCATGTATTTTAATATTTTCTTTTTATTTTATTTTTTTTACTGAGATAAAATTGGTTTTTTAATGATAATAGTTTTTATCAAAAAATAATATATCTACCCCTTCAATAATGGGCATCAAAATAAGTTGGTGACCCTTTGTGAACTTGGATCGTGGGTGTGGCCTAGACCGCCGATATTTATATAATTTTCATTTTTTTAATAAAAAGTGGACGAATGGCTCGTCCAAAACTACCAATAGGGTAGTTTTATGTTGGATTAGGTGTCTAAGTTCATAACTATTTCTGGAATGTATTTGACCCGATTGGCATGATCCATTTGGGTTGCATGGCATTGCAACACTTGGATAGACTAAATAAGAGAAAGGACACTTATGGTTTATTAATATATTATAAGTTCTAATATATTAATAATATTATTATTTAATTAGTATTGATCAAGAATTAATTTAGAATTAATTTGGTGATCAAAAGGAGACTAATTAAATATATGAGGTTGATTGTGTAAATCATCCATTCTTTTATAGTGGGCTAATGATCCATGGTTTATTAAGTTGGGCTAAAACTCATAAGGTGCTCCATGGATAGTCCATAGAGGTTATAAACTCATGGATCATGGAATATGAAAAGTCATGTCAATTAGGGGTTTACATGTTGTAACCCTACTTGTGACACAACTATAAAAGGACCCCATGGGCTACCAAAATCGGCACTATGTGTGTAGAACAAGAGGGCTAGCCGATTTTGAGTGATAGTGTACTTCTCTCAAAGTTATTCCAAGAGTTGTGGTGTTGTGTGAAACATTTGAGGCATCACACTTGAGGTGCTAGGCTCACAAGGTTCTCAAGGAATCCAAGCAACAAGAAAGGTATGTTCTCCTACTAGCTTTATGTTTCAATGTTCCCCATGCCATGCTAGTTAGCTTAAGAACCTTGGAAAATCAAATTTGCATGTATCTTAGTAAAACATAGATCTAAGGTTTCTAGGGTTGCATGTACACCTTAGGAGTGTTAGAATGCTTAAAACCCTTCAGTGGTATCAGAGCCTAGGCTTGTTTTCTTGATACTTGATGCAAATTGTTGAAAAAACTCAAGATTTCTGCATTCTGCTGAGTGAACTCGCCGAGTCCATGTGTTATTTCATCCTACTCGTCGAGTAGGTTCTTGCACTCGACAAGTATGAGGCCCTGAATGCATATTTTCGAGTTTTGCTGCTGGAAATAGACTAGAAACATTACCCTAAACTGTTTTGGTCTTATAAAACTTGTTTTAGATGGTGTAATGGTTATGATAATCCATTTACAATGGCTATTATCAAAATTTCAAGTTTTATATGTGTTTATATGATTCTTGAAATTGTTGATATAAATGTTCATATGCTTATGAGTTTTGTTAGATCATAGGAATTATTTGCAAATTGTTTGTTAGTTAATTCTTGATCATTATGTGTATTAATGGAATCCATAATTTGTCCTCAAGTTATAGATTACCAAAAGTCACTCCTTTTAAAGTCCATTAATGAACACATAGGTTACATAAAATGAAGAGTCTTCATTTTAATAAACTAATAACTCATAAGTTATGAAGTTGAAAAGTCACTTTAGAAAACTTTAGTTCCAACCCCTAGAATTTTAAAAGTTAAAATTCAACCCTTATACTTTATAATATTATAAGTTAATAATATATATATATATATATATATATATATATATATATATATATATATGTGTGTGTGTGTGTATGTATAAGAACAAGTCGTTTTACTGTTAGTAGGCATCATTCACGAAGCCGGTCTATAAGGGGGTATAAGGTTGTTGCCTATAAAATGGCAGCTTAATGGGTGTCCACTCTCACCCACTGCTTCCTTTACTGGTGGAGGGTCGTTAGCCGAACGGGTAGGACAATGACTGTAAATCCTCATTAAAAGTATGATGGTTATAAAGTTACTAAATGTTTTTTATAAATTCTCAATCTTAGTTACTTTAGGAAAAATATGAATATGGTGCTAACCCATGAAATTACAGTTTGCACTTTGCTTAAGTCGTTAGTGGAGCGTGTGTGGTTAACCAGTACACTAACCTGGACTTAACAAGGTAGGCAGAGGGTGGCTTAAGGTTTATCATAGATCGGTGGAGCGCGTGTGGTTAACCAACACATTGGTTAGGCGATAAACATTAAGAGTACCAAGTAATTTGCATGGTTAATTCACACCTTGTTTTGTGATCCTCGGCATCCCAGTCACAAAACCTGAAGGGAACAATCGATATTGAAACATGCCATTGAAAAGTTCAATGAATCTCAAAAGAATCTAGGAGTTTCAAAACCAATTAAAACCTAATAATTTATTTAGTTTTTCGTGGTGGAAATTGGTGAATCGTCATTCACCTACCTTCAAATATTTTATAGCTTGGATTACATCATCCCTCTTCTAAGTTATAAAATATTGTGTTGGGTCCTAGCCTTAATATTACATTTGGGTGTCTTATTAAGGACTATCTTTATATCTAATCTAAACTTGTCCTTCTTTCTTTTCAGATGTCTTCCAACAATGCTACTTCTGGCTCAAACCCTACCGGCTCCTTCTCTCTCATGAATCTTTGTGGGAGAGTCATCTTCGATGGTTCCAACTTTATGGATTGGATTCGGAACATCAGGATGGTCACTCACTCGAGGACAAGGAATATGTCCTCGACAAGGAGCTTAAGGAACTTGATGATTCGTCTGCTACTCCTCAGGAGATCGATGAATTTCGGACTCATGAGAGAGATGCCACCAAAGTGGCATGTATCATGTTGGCCACGATGACAGCCGAGCTCCAAAAGTCCTATGAGGACTATTACCCTTTTGAGATGCACCAGGACTTGATGGACCGCTACCATCAAAGTGCTCGTCAAGAGAGGTATGACATCATCTCCTCCATGATAACAACACGGATGAAGGATGGTGAACCCATCACGGGCCACATGAAGGAAATGCAAAGGTATGTGGACCGTTTGCTGGAATTGAATGTGAACTTCCCCGAGGAGTTGGCAATTGACATCATTTTGCACTCCTTACCTTCATGTTATGATCGATTTTTGGATGACATATCACATGAACAAGGAGGAAGTTACACTCAGCAAACTTCAAGGACTTTTGAAGACCGTGGAAAGTGGTCTTAAAGGTAAGTCGGTTGTTACTACTCCTACTCCTACCGCGGCCCCTGTCGTGGCAATCGGACAAGGTAAAGGGAAGAAGAGGAAGAGCCCTTCGAAGGGTACCAAGGGAAAGTCCCTTGATGGCTCCTCTTCGAGTGGAAGCAAAAGAGGTTATGTCACTCCTTTTGCCAACCCTAAAGAGGCTGAATGCTTCTATTGCCATGAAAAGTCGCACTGGAAGCGAAACTGCCCAAAGTACCTGCAAGATGTTATGGATGGGAAAGTGAAACCCAACCATGCAGGTATTTACACTATATTGTCTAATAACTCACCCTATTCTAATTCTTGGGTCCTTGATACAGGTTGTGGAATTCACATATGTTCTGATTTGCAGGGACTAAGAAGAAGTGAGAATGTGGAGCATGGGAAGATAAACTTAATCATGGGGAATTGGAAACCTTCACCTGTCACCAAGATTGGAGTTTATTCTTTGTTGCTAAGTAGTGGGTTAACATTAGATTTGAATAAATGTTGTTACTCGTCTGAAATGGTGAGAAATATTATTTCCTTTCATGGTTTGTACAAACACGGGTTTACCTTTTCGTTTGATAATGAATGTGGTGGTATTAATGCTTTCTTTAATAATGTTCTTTATTTTAAAGCATTACCTTGTGATGGTGTGTATGAAACTGTGTCGGTTGTAGATAACCTAGGAAATAATGTATTGTGTATCGATTCTTCCACTAGCTTGGATAAAGCATCATTATGGCATTGTCGTCTTGGACATGTAAGCAAGAAACGTATAGGCCAACTCCAAAAGGATGGAGTCTTGGAGTCATTTGACCTAAAGTCAGATGATAGTTGTGAGTCTTGTTTGGTTGGGAAAATGACAAAGTCACCCTTCACTGGTACTTGTGCTAGGGGTGAGGGTTTGTT